GCAGTGGACCTGTTGTTAATTTTTAGTGGCATTATTATTTTTTCACAGGTGTAGATGAGAGAAAAAGGGACTCTTTTTTTTGCTGCTACTTGTCAAGAGCTCATCCTGCAAAACTTTGCACATGGAAGTATTACATAGCCCCTTGAAAGTACCCTCTGGACTTCAATGTGGAGGAAAACTTGCTAATGTGTTTTGAATTCTCAAATTCCTTTTTAAGTACACATTTTAAAAATACAAAAACACTCTGCTCAGTTAACATTTGTTTGTTAGCCCAAATGATCATCTGGTATATAAAAGATGAAGGTATAGTTCATGTTTTTCTTTTAAAAAGGGAAAGGAAAACATTAGGGGAAAAACATGTTGCAGATCTGTAACACAGGAAGTATTATGTGACATAAGTAGTGCAGTGTGTGTACTAACATTTTGATGGCAGAATTGGTGCATTACGTATTTTTCTTGGAAGTCTTTGCTTTTACACTGACTTTCATAGAATCCCATAAAATATGAAATGAAGCATACTGACACAAATACTTGATTTATATACTGCAGTATCTGTATAGCAATGGTACAGGCTATATAGCCTGTGTTTCTTTTCTAACAGCTGTTCTTAGAAGACATAAAATGGTACATAAAATGTGCAGACAGATACATTTTGATTTCTCCCTGCCCCTCTTTTACATACTTTTTTCTTAAAATCTCTGTTTATAAAATAGTACAAAGCAGCATCTTCCAACCAGCTCTTGCCTACAGCAGACTGCAACTTCTTTGTAGCAGGTATGAGTAATGGAAGTTCCAAAATTTTATGGAAAATAAAAATAATGATATATCTTTTATTTCTGTGGAGTGAGACATAGTCAGCAGAATACCGCCTTGAGTCCTGTGTGGTTTAGGAGAAGGGCATATCCACCTTTGAGTTTGACCTAGGCATCAGTGACAAAATAAAAGTACTCTGCAAATACTGAAAAAACCCTATGGACTTTCTTCCATTAATTGAAATTCTCAGAACTGCTTGTAATAAAATTCAAAGGAAGAGGAAGAGGTTTGGGAGGGCCTGCAAGGTTCCCACAGGGAAATGGAGCCTGAAGGCTGAGCTACAGAGGAAGAGAATTTCTGATATTTGTTTGCACATAACAAAATTGGCCTGTGTGTGCTGCTTTCCATGTCAGTCCCTTGGTGACTGGTTTTTATCCAGCTTCCTGAAGTCAAGGTTAGAACCTGGATGTAGAGCCTATGTGCTGAAATGCATCAAAGCGTATTACAGTTTGCCTTATTTTCTAAATAGCAGTAAAGTCTGCTTCTTGTTTTGACTGGCTGTCCTTGAGTATTAACAGGAATGTGACTGAGCAGCACTGCCATTTAGCTTATTAGTTGTTCTCATATAATTGAGATCCAATTGGAAGGGAAATTAAAGACATGCTGTTTTTATTTCAAGACTGGTGTGAAGCTCGGGAGCAATTTTTTAAAGTTTGTTGCGCTGAGCTTTGTCCCTAAGGGAAATGGCAGTTCTCTGATGCTATCTGCTAGATGCAAAACTGTGGAAGTCAACAATTTCAAAATATTTTTAAAACTTTTCCATCAAACTTTCTGGATCTTTCAAAGTGAGCTTCAGTTTTAGTGAAGCCTAAAATCGGACAAGAAGGATGGAGAAGTTTAATGTATCGAGTCCTTACTTGACACAAATTTGACTTATCTTTATTTTTAGGGATAGAAAATTCTCAGGTCTTTCCTTAAATCAACAAGGACTAATGTGAATTGGGGTAACTCTGTATCTTACAAGCAGGCAGCCTTGGTTTAAAAAGTCACTTTTACAGTTATGCTTTTATAGTTACTTTCCTAAAGCAAGTTTGCTTTGTATTGGTTGTAACACAAGATGTCTCTTGTGATGCTTTCGTGGTTTTTTTCACAAACCAGGGAGACATACTGCAGCTGTGTCCTTGTAAACGTTGTATAACTCGGCAAAGTGCTACTTGGATTTTTACGTTTCTAAATCTGTTAGAAAATGCCATGAGTTTCGTTTATTATTTGCCAGGTGAGGATTAATTTTTTGAGTCATACTGCTGAATCGGCATTAATATTAAATTCAGTTGTAGAGATCAAAGGCGACTGGGTATGATGCAATCGTGTTGCCTCTTCCCAGCATCGCCACTTGTGTAGTGCTGGCTACAGAGGACAGAATCCCTTCACCATACTCACCTAAGGGACGTACGGAGGAGGAGAAAAAAGGTCTTTGAATTGGTTTCTTGACTTTGAAATAATTATTGAACCATTTTAGTCAAATAATAAGGAAAGAAGTGTCCTTTTGGTGCCTACAGAGGAGGCTTAGCACTGCAGCAAGCTGTGGTTGCAGTTTCTGAGCCGGTGACTTGTGCCAGTTCAGTAGCATGACTTCCTCACACCTCGGGGCAAATGCAGGCTGTCTGCATGCTTTCATTCAGTGAAACCCTTTATTTATTTAATCCTTTATTTAATTTATTTAATCCATTTATTTAATCCTGGTAGTGTATTAGGCCTTTTTATGATTTGTGATTTCAAAATAACTTTGGAATAGTATTTTAAGGATTTAAATTTAAAAAAAAAATTAAAATGCAAATGTACTAGAAATCATGATTTATACTGACCTCGCTCCATTCTACACTTACTCAGCTGGAGTTTAGGGTCTTGTTCTAGAAATCATCAGAGGACTTTTCAGAAAGGCTCCAGTCGGCAGAACATGGTCTTTGCATGCAGTTGGCTTTGGCTGCCCACAGTTTTCTTACGTGTACAGAAGACATGGAAGAACGCCCAGTACAGTGAGGGCTCTTTGAAGGGGTGAGAAGCTATCTCACTTCATACCCAGAGAGAAAGTGATGGTAACACACAGGAATCTCTCTTAGAATCCATAAAATTATGTATCAAATTTCCTTGATGTCCTGATTTACTTTAAGTAAATCCATAATCAAAACAGAGGTACTTTATGTTGAGCCAGCTAGTTGAACAAGCGAATGGATTCACTTAGAGGTGCTTACTACAAAATGAAAAGGAATCTCACAGGTTTGCTAGATAACATGGGAGAAAATAGTACAGTTTACAAAGTCTGGATGGAGTTACTTTTCCTATACAGCAACATCTGCTGCCTCCTCCACCAGGCATGGGATTCCTTTGAATTTGGCACTTATTAACTTTGCAGAATGTGAGAGAAGAACAACAAATGAAATGTTGAAGTGCATCAAGAAGCAGATGAGGAAGCCATGTGTCTGTATTTAGTAAAGCATAGGATATATCGGAGAAGGACATTGGTCTATGAGCCGTGTTGTGCTGTCATTGGCTGCCCGGTCATACTTGCATGAGTAAGGAGCACTCCCTCCGAGTTTGGCGTGTGGTATTGGACTTCTAATAAATAAAATGTAGAACTGTCCTGAGAAAACATCCCATGCAGAAGCCAAAGGCCTTGTCCAAGTTTGGGTGGGCTGCTGATGTCAGAGAGGAATGCGCCCAACGGTTGTGGGGTGAAAAGCAGATTCGGGGAACTGACTTGTACGTGTTTGTGTTGGCTCGGTGCTCAGACATTCCTCCTCCTCCCCGCACCGGTTCCCAGCTGTGCTGCTGCCAGTCTCACCAGCTTCCTTCAGAATGTTCCTGTGGGCTCTCCTCGCTGCTACCGTGGATGTCCATACAGAAATGCTTGATCAGATGCTTCATCAAGCAAGTAGAGTCTCCTTTTATGCGTTTGCTCTGTTCCACTTAAGTTTATTCTCAAATGTGGTGACCTGCATCTATAGGTAGGGCCTAGGAATACAGAGAAGCATTTAAAAAGGAGTACAATAGCTTTGCTGAGTGGTCGTTTTCTCTCTTCATTCATTATTATTTTTTAAGTTGTTGGTTTGTTTTTTTTTCATTTTACAATGTATCTTTGTGAAAATACGACTGTCTGCACTCAGACAGACTGACCCTACCTCTCATCGCTCAATAAATCAGTGTACTCATAGCATCATTTGTAAGATATCCCATTTCTTAAATAACTGTATCACTTTAAAGGCTTTGGAACTGAAAGCTTTACAGTGTTTCATCTTTCTACCAAAAAAGTCTTCATGTGCTTTTAGCATTTATAGTAGAGAGAGATAATTTACCATCCTCTGGCAGATTCCTGGCTTTGCAGAGTCAGGCTTACTTCACACAGGAACTCAGGTTACAAAACCTCAATGGCAGAAAGCCTGCAGAGGAGGGCTCAGCAGGGCAGGTGTCACTAGGGCTGGTGTTTCAAAGCATGGGTTGCAGCTCTGCAAAGCACAGAGGCCAGCCACAACTTACTGGGCTGGTGTAGCTCTTGGGTGTCCTCTGCCAGAAGCTTCCCTGCTGGGCTGTACTGGGAGACTAATGCCTCCACCATGTGAAACGTGACTCTGGAAGCGTTGTTGCTGTCCATGTGCAGCACCTCCAGAGGTGAATGTAACCTGCTGTGTGTCCACTAGCAAGAGGAGGGGTATCGAAGGCCTTTGTCACCATGGCTTAAGTTTTCCTAGAAACCTCTATACCCTCTGGTGTCAATATATTGTGTCCTGTTGCAGCTTAAAATGTGTAAATGTTCTTGATGAAAACAAGGTCCTGTATTCCTTATGCAGACTTTTATTTGGAAAATGTGAAAAAGTAAATACCCTTTGTAAAAACGTTCTGATCTACCCGTGGCCTCTATCCTTGAAAAACACCCATCTCTGGAACAGTCTTGGCATGCTTTGTTAGCTCAAATTCAGGATAAGTTATTATTCCTTACTCAAATCAGTCCCTGTTTTTGGAAGGTGTTCCCTGGCTGGTTGCAAGTGCAGCAGAGGTAACTCCTATGTAAAACACCAGCGGATTTCTAGGATGATAAAAATTATGTGCCTGAAAGTATTTACTTTGCAACTGGGTTTCATTAATGCTGTGAAGATATGAAGATTAGAGATAATGCTGAAACAATTTCACTCATGCACATGCTGTCTTGGTGTATTTTTCTGATGTGTAATTTTAAAATGTTCCATTTTCAGGTGACAATGGCCAAAATAGGGATAAACGAGAGTCGTTCGAAGGAGACCTGTGAAACAATACTTTTCGCTCTCCGGATGGCAACGTGGAATCAGATTCTAGATCCCTGGGTGTACATTCTTCTCCGGAAAGCCGTACTTAAAAACCTGTACAAGATCACGAGGGGATGTTGTGGCATGCACATCATAAACTTACACGTGTGGGAACTCAGCTCCATCAAGAATTCTTTGAAGGTTGCAGCAATATCTGAGTCGCCAGTAAGCTCCAAACAAATAAACCTACAGCCACTCAGCTCTTTGGGGCAATGAGGTTGACCATGGTGTATGAAGAGATGATGGAGAAAACACCCATACACGGGCAAGACCTTAAAATGAATTCCAAGGCTCAGTGGTGTGGCATTTGTTTTCTTGTGAGTGGTTTGCTCTTGTTGCTTACCAGTTTCATGTTGCTACTCCGGAAGATGAATGTTTTAATTTCTTTCAGAATACATTCCTTCCAAAACATAGGAATGATAAACTGTCTTGTATTTCTCCCTTCCAGCTACTAAAGTGAACAGGTTCCTCATAATACTCCCCACCAAATCCTTTACCTTAGCAGGCTTCTTAAGAACACACGCAAGTGCGAAAGTGATCTTCAAGGTGATTTTTAGAAGGGGTGGATTTTTGTCTACCAGTAATACCCCCAGTCCTTTGCAGAGTCACTCCTTCCTAGGCTAAAGTCACCATCCTTGCCATAAGGGCGTTCTTTGCTTCTAGGCATTGAATTTTCCAATTGGATATATAACAGACATTTTGCTTGTGTCTAGCTTATTAAATGATCCAGTTTGCTTTGTTCATTGGCTTGACCTCTTAATTATTTACTGTTCCGTGAATTTTTGGGAGAGCTGCAGACTTCATCAGTGTAAGTTCCTTTCAAATCACTGAGAAAACATGGGGTTACCTGTGGGAACACAGAAAGAGATCAGCTCAGCTTGCTTACAGTTATGTTTTCAGATCCATTGGTGAGTTTGTAGTCCTTTCAACAAATTTTATTGAAAGTAACATGCATAAAGCTGTGGTTAGTCTGTAAAAGGAGTAGGAGTTTTGGTTTTGGTTTTTTTCCACCCAAACTGAAGGAAATTTCTTGACGCGTTCCCCTAATGAAATGCTGACGAGGTACATTTGCTTCATCTGTAGAAGGTCACACGCATCTCATGAGAAATGTGTGTGACCAAATGAGCACCTCTGCAGGGAGCTGCACTGGGAGCATGGTTGTGTTTGTGAAAGCAAACTGCACGCTCAGATTTTACAAGGTCTGTGTCTGAAGAGCCGAAGGCATTCAGTATATTTGAGTAATTCAGAAAATTTCCAGGACTTTACACAGAAGGCCCTTCACCTTTAATGCTGCTAAAGGAGGCTTTGGTTTTTGTCACTGTACTTTGTTCAGAAGCAGAAATGAGAGTATGAGAGACTTTATAGCAGAGGGATTCTTTTAAGGTAGAAATGTCTAGTGTTATTTTTACCTACTTAACTTCAAATAAGTACATTAGTGAATTGTTGGGATATTTGGACAAAGTAGTTAAAAACTGATTCACCAAGAAGACAGTCTGAGGGACCAAAACTATTCACGAACTACAAATTCATGTTGTATGTGAGAATAGTTTGTCAGAAAATAAAAAACCAAAAGGTTTAAATATTTCTCTTTTTTTGTTTTAAAAGCTATTTTCTTTTTGTTTTAAAAAGGTTGAAAAAATAATGGGTTAAATAACCCTATAATGTAATGAAGAGGGTTAATTTACCCTGAAGAATTTCTGTATGTGATTTATTTCCTCGGTCACAGAGCTGATAAACCGTGGGCAGATTTGATGCTGGGATAAGCTCTGCACTGTTGCTTTCGTGTGGGTTCTGCTGAAATCTGGAAGTGTTCAGTCAGTGCTCAGTTTGGTTTTTTAGTTTTGTAGAATGTGATGCTGGTGTATCTGCTGACATAAATTATTTGTTCTTTATGGAAGATAGTTGTTTTAGGAGCTGCAAAAAATTGTTGGTCTGTAAAATGTTGAGATATCTGATCGGTGAATGAAGCTCATCAGTGTTCCATTTTGTTATGTGAATAAATGTAGCTTGTGTAGTTCATAGTGGTTGACTTGTAAAACAAAAGCAAAAGTTTATATGTATATGTGATTTCTTATATTTTGTGAACTAATATGTATTAAATGTAAATTGCAAAGCCTCATTAAAGTTATCAAATGGTATCTTGAGAGTTACGACATTTTTGCGTAACAAAAGAGATCACAGAATCCCAGAATGTGAGGAGTTGGAAGGCCCTGGAAAGCGGATCCAGTGCACCCCCTGCCACAGCAGGATCACCAGAGCAGTCACACAGGAACATGGCCAGGGCTTTGGGTGTCTCCACACAAGGAGACTCCACAACCTCTCTGGGCAGCCTGGGCCATGCTCCATAACCCTCACACTCACAAAGTTTCTCCTCCTCTTCAGTTTGAACCTCCTGTGCTCCAGCTTGGGACCATTGCCCCTTGTCCTGGCATTGGACATCCCAGAGCAGAGCCTGGCTGCTTCCTCCTGACACTTGCCCTTTACATATTTATAAACATGAATGAGATCTGCAGTTGTTAAAAACAATCCTTATGACAATGAACCTTACACTGGATTCCAGCCAGGCGCTGCCATTCACAGTGGGGCTGATAGCAGTTGTGGGGGTGGAGAGGAGGGCTGTGAACAAACAGGAGGTGCCAGTGTTCAGACACTTCATCGTCACCTGAGCTGCCCAGTGCAGTTGGTGGTCTAAGGCTGATGAGGTCAAGCATGATCCATGCCTAGAAAATGCAAATAAAAACGGAGCTGATGGACTTCAGTGTTTGGAATTGAAGTGTTTTTATCCAAACATCTGCCAACATGTTACGCAGACTCTAATTAGTTTCACATACTCTATGAATCCTAAAAAATGTGTGAGTTTTACTGTTAGTCTTGATAGCCTGCAGGGGCAGCTGAGAATACAGCCACCCAAGGATATGCAATCACTGAAAGTGATTTGATTATCATTGCACTTCATATCACTGGAGAGCCAGCAATGTGCTGTGCTGTCTGATTAGCAAATTACATTTTATGGCATATGAGGTTATAAAGAAAACAATGGGACAGCTTCACGCTAGGATCTGAGCCCTGCCCAGGCAGGGAGAAAAGGGCTTAGCAATGTGCTGATGATCCCTTCAGAGGTTGGCCAACGAGGGGAGCGGTCACCAGCTGCCCGTTTACTGCCAGGCAGTAATTAGTGTCTGCAGAGCGGGCAGGGGCACTGAGTGTTCTGGTGGGAAGAAAGTGAATCTCATTTCTGACTAATGACTGAGGAAATCCTCAGGGTGGGAGAGTATTTTAACTTAATTGGGATCTTAAACAATGGCAGGCTATATAAGGAAGCACCTTATCCTAAACCAGGGTCCTAGCCTGGACTGAATCAACTTGAAGCAAAGAAGGCATCAGTAACTGCTCATCATGGGGTTTAGGCAAATGTCTAGTTTGTCACCAAGATACAAAGATGGAGAGCAAGGTTCAACGTCTTTTTGATCTGATTCATGAGGCTAAGTGTCCAGCTTGTGTGTTTGTAGATAAGCATTATACTATAGGTAAAAGACATTTGTATACAAGTATTTTTATTACTTTTGTCTGATGCACCAGGAAATATTTCAGGAACTGCAATATGTACTGGTTCTGTAGCCATGGTGCTCATTTAGGACAAAGTGTTTGGACCTTTCAGATGTGCCTTGCCTGCTGATATGCTCCTCCAGGATTTTACTGGTAACACAGCACACCTCTGATTAACTGCATAGATTGGCATAAGATTTAATTATCAACACTTGCATTTACAGAAGCAGAGAATTTACAACACCTATCATGCTTTTGTTGCTTTCTAAAAACCCCCAGACGCTTCACAGAATCACAGAACATTAAAAATGGCAGAACTGTTCTTTGATTTTAGCATGAGTATCTCAGATGGAAAATATTGCATGTTAGTGCTATGTTGATTGGTTCAGTAACAGCTTTTTATTCTCACATAAGTTACTTTTTAAAGGTGGGTTGCTCTTTACCAGTGGAAGTACCACCAGGGGACTGGTGGTGCAAGTCATGGCTTCTTGCCTTGTGCAGTGGAGCTGGGTAATCAACAGGAAAAAGATCATATTTGATTCTTTACATGGAGCAACCTCTATCACAGCTCGCTTCCCTGTGACCATCAGTACATCCCGATGGATGCTTTGGAAGGAGACCACTTTCTGTTGTAAGTACAATTCAGACTGTCATGTCAGTGATTCCCTCTACACCAAAACGTTTGCCACGCTGGTGTTACAGCAGCTTCTTGGGCTGCTGGGGCGCTTTTGGAGCGAGCTGGGTGAACCACAACAGGGAGGCTGAGGTGTCTGGCCATGTGCTCCTGCTGCTGCCTTTGCACTGGTTTGGGCATTTGACTGTGCTGAGAGTTGACTCAACTCGCAAAAAAAATGAGTGTGGCAAAAGAGGGAGTTGCTGTTCGCAGGCGTAATGAGTCAAGTTGCTCTGTGTTGCAGTGCCAGAAATTTTGCAGGGGTGAAGCAAAGGGAGCGTGGAGGGAAGTGCATTGGTGAAGGGAAGGGCTGTGAGACCTTCCTCCCCAAAGAACTGTTAATTTTACTCAGGTTTTGTGAACCCTTGCCCTTAGAGAGGGGAGACGAGGCACGTGAGCAGGACCTACACTTGCCTATTCTTATAGGATTCCTAAAAGTAACTCTCAGATTCATTAACTCATTTTTTCTCCAGGCTCTTCCAGGCTTTCCTGGTTATTTAAACTAAGTAGGTCACAATTAATTTCTTTTTTGTAAATGCTGAAAAAGGCTGCTGCAGATTTTTCTCTATAATCTCTTATTTGTTCTTCCCTGATAAGTAGTAATCCATAGTTTTTCTCATTTTTCACTTCAGTACAAATTTGCAGTCTTTTGTAGCTGGTACGCCACTTCTATGCAGATAGATCCAATATACATCATATATCATTGTATCAATATATACATCAATATACCCACAGTTCCTGGCTCAAGTAACTTAAACGTCATGGCTGAGTACAAATTCTTACTGGCAGTGTTTGCCATAGTAGATCTGACTCTCCCTGTATGGGGAAAGAAGGCTTCCTGTGAGCACTTCAGTCACTGCACATGATGATACTTCAAGAACAAATCTATTTACCTCACTTGTCCCTTTTTTCTACAGCTTCCTGTAAACAAGATGACATCTGAAGTGACTGGACAATGGTTAAATACTAAAAATATAATTTCAAATGCAATTAAAAAAAATGTTTATAATTAGGATAAGTTAAAGAGTGACATAGGTATACTAAGGACTTTGTTTCTTAGCAACACATTCATGGAGCCTTTAAAAAAAAGTCCTGTGGTTGCAGGAATATAAACACGTATCTGTCTAGCTGTTTAATTTCAGCACCATGGTT